TTTAAGGAACACTCTGGGCCCGGACTGTCACACGTTCCTTTATTCCTTTGCCCTCCCCTCCCCATCTTGTTTTCTTTTCTTGTCTATTTTTCTCTTCTTTTGCTCTAGGTGTCTATCTTTGTCTTGTTGGAACTTGATCTGATTTACAAACTGTTTTAATTGGGCCACTTTGTAGCTTCTTTAGGTGCTAGGTTTTGATAAGCTTGCAGCAACTAGCATACCTTTCCTTATTGTTGGCACTGACGATAAAAAGGTTTTGCAATTATTTGTAGAATCCGCGCTTTTGGCATTTCCTTTCAATATAATGTGTCAGCAGCAGTGAAAAGAAGTGAATCCTGTAATCACTCTCTAAAATCTCAAGACAATATCACTGCGCCACATAATATAAAATCCTTAAGACTAGGGATGCACCGATACCGGTATTTTGGTACCGAGTACCAATAATTTTTTTTCCGTACTCGCCGATACTAATTACAGAGTAACGTTAGTCCCATTCAGGAAGCCAGGTGGCGTGTAATTACTCGCCACCTGGCTTCCCGATTAGCTGGGAAGTGCGTAAAGACTCGCCACCCGGCTTCCCGATTAACAAGAAAGTCTTGCCCCTCTTACCTTGGTATGTCCAGCCCGTCACCCCCGGGCCTCTCCAGCCAGAACGCGGCCTTCCTCCAGTACCCAGCCAGAGCCGTGTAATGACGCGACGCCCTGCTTTCTGATTGGCCAGGAGGCCGGCTCCATGCTCCCTCGTCATGGGATGATGGCGCATAAAGCCAGCTTCTCTACCAATCAGGAAGCCAGGCAGCTCGTCATTACACGCTGCCCGGCTTCCTGATTGGTCGGGAAGTCGGCTCCATGCTCTCTCATCACAAGTGAAGAGAGAGCATGGAGCCGCTTCCCGGCCAATTAGGAAACCGGGCAGCGTGTAATGACGTGCTGCCCGGCTTCCTGATACCAGGAAGTAATCGTGCTAGGCATCGGAGCATTGGGGGGAGTACTCGTACTAAATGAGTTACAAAGAAGTGTGCGGAGGAGGTTAATATTGGCTATTTAGAAGGTGGTTTGACGGGAATTGAAACAACTTGAACCGACCAACAGTTTCCAAAAAAACCCAGCTAACTGAAAAGGAGATATTGACTATAAAGGATGTTGCCATCAGCTGTCTTTGGAGAGCGGCTCGCTAAGGATTGTAATCTGAGTGCAGTTTGACCATTTAACAGTGGTCAAAGGAGTTTGGTGAGTGTATTGATTGCACAGAAACACTTAGGACGTTACACTAAGAAATACCTTTTTCAAATGCAAAACAATTGCACTGTGTGTGTGTGTTGTGTGTGTGTGTGTGTGTGTGTGTGTGTGTGTGTGTGTGTGTGTGTGTGTGTGTGTGTGTGTGTTTTATAGACTAATTTGTGGAGTTGCGCATGTGGTCTGGATCACAACACATTGCACATGCAGTTTTGAGATTGTATTGAATTTAACAATTAGGGAGGTCACATATTGTGTTGGGACAATCACTAGGCACTTTATTGTTTATGCATAAGTTGTAGGTTTTTTTAGCGCAGTGACTTTATTATCGCAAGATAATGAGGTTTCAGCCTATTAATATGAAATTCTCTTCTCCCCAGCTTAGAACAAATGTAGCCTTTAATACGGTTTAGGTGACCTAAGGATGCCCTCAGTTAGCCAGGTCTCTTTAAATTCCAAAAAACAGATATTTTACCTAATTCTAACTAATTACCTAAGCAAGGTATCTTTTGGGGCCTTTAACCTTTTTATCGAGGCCCTTAATGAAAACCAAAATCAAGCAGTTGACAGGTTTAGATAGAAACTAGAGGGCCTGGTAAGGATAATGACCCAGGTGACCCTGCACTCACACTTAGTCATAAAACTGAGTTCCATTATTAACCCATTATCATAACATGGAATTGGAGAATGACATTGTAAAATGAATGGCACAAATAGCTGCCTCTCATCAAGACAAAGCCAGACATAGCAAGAATGGAAAGGTTATGGTGGTCAGAGTCGTAACAAGCCGTATTAAATGTGAAGGTTCTCAATCATCCAGGTCATGGTATATATCTGTAAGAAATAAATCCAAGGTAACTGGACTTGCTGTATTTTTCTTGAAGACGTTTCGCTGGTCACCTGATCAGCTTTCTCTCACTTCAGAATGACTGAATAAATATGGTGAATGTTCCGCCAATCAACATAATCTGTTAATCATAACTGGCATAGGGTTTGCATAATTGGAGTCTAGAGAGGTGTTAAAACAGCAATGTATGTGGCAGACAATAGATGTCTTCTCCCCC